GGATGGGGCTGCCACCCCCTCTCTGGGCAACCTGTGCCAGGGTCTCACCGCCCTCATGGGGAAGAACTTCTTCCCAACATCCAATCTACACCAGCCCAATGACAGCCAGTGGGAAACCAGATCCAAAGGACGGGGCCTGTTGCACAGAAACCAGCTCCCAAGCAGGCAGGAGGAATTCTCCTGAGCCTGCACTGTGACACAAGCCCAAACCCTCTGAGCTGGCCACCATCACGTGCCAACACCCTGCACTAGCTCTCTTACTGGAGGAGACGCCATCACGCCTATGGAAGCCCCCTGGTGCAATCAGAGGTGCCAAGCTGAAATCTAGGTCTCCACATTAACCTCTCTTGACAAGCCATGGGACTACAGGGCAGCAGTAGCCTGCGGAAAGCGTAGGCTGGCACCAAGCATGGGTGTCGATCGGTGCTTTTGGTCTCGCATCCCTTCTGCCACCAGGGCGCCTGGCAGCATGCATCGGCCGGGCGAGGTGACGGCTGGTGTCCTGCTAACCATCTCGTGCCTCCGTATACTCACCCTGGTCAGGTTTTGTCTGAGCCCAGCACCACACGTGGATGCCGTGTGCTGCTGGGAAGATAACTCACCCATCACACCAGCACGGCTGAGCAGAGAGCAGGAACCCAGTGGTGCACCCTCCCACGCCGAGCTTTCCGCGGTGACTTTATAGGCACTGCACACACCCACGTGTGTTCGCGCTGGTTGTTTGTAGAGGCACAAGGAGGCACTTGCAGATTGTGACTCGAGCGGCTTTCAGATCCCATGACAGCCCAACTAAACCCCCCGAGGGGAGGGAGGCATTGCCCTTCCAGCCAGAGAAGTACAAAGTAATCCCCTCCGTGGTGAGGGATTTCAATTATTGACTCTCTCAGCTACACAAACACTACATGTGAATTGCCCACTGGGAGCATATTCTGGAGGGTCGTGATCAAACTGAAGTGGAGAGACCCAGCATTTTAAGGACATACACACAGAAACCAGCACAGGAGGAGAGATTAGTCTCCCATGTGCCCGGTCCCAAAGGTGACCTTTGAAAAATGAGGACAGGTTCTCGAGAGAGGTGCCTGCTTGTTAGCTCTCTGCTGGCAAGTTTCAGGATCAATGAGTTCAGACACTGGGACCAGTGTCCAGCACCAGAAGTCACGGTGTCCACTGTGTTCCCTGGCACCCCAACCTGCGCGCTTGGAGCAGATGGCGAGGGCTCCGGGTAACAAAAGGGTGCCTGTGGATCCCATTGCCGCTCTCCTTCCCAGTCCCTGTCTTTGGCCTGGTGAGGCTCTGCAGATCCCCCTTGCCAGCCCCAGAAATGTCAGCCAGGGGTTGTCCCCTCTACAGGAGCAAAACGCTCCCGGGACAGATTGTTTGGGAGGGCTGCTCTTCATGCCAGAAGGTGCAGACAGCTCCATCCATTTGTCAAGCTGATTTTAAGAGGATAAACATGTGGCCCTTCTACTTTCTTCTCCTGTGTTGGTTTCAGTAGCCTGCTGACCAGATGTCTTCTTCACGGCACAGCTTTAAACCCGGTGTTCACAGCAAGCTTGCGTCAAGCTGAGGCTCCCACCAAACTGCCTGTACCGCAGGAGCCCGCATCGAGCCGTGCAACCGGCAGGTCTAGAGGGACGGAGGGATCCAGAGCTCTCTGAGGTAAGGGTTCTCTGGATTAATTTCCATCTGATTTTCTAACTCACACTGACACAAGACCTAGGTTTCCTAAATCACACCGACATGGGACCTCTTTCAAAGAAGACAGCTGCAAGAGGACCAGGTGGGACTGGTCAGTGGCCACTGGCCACTAAGGCATACTTGTGGGCTGGGGACCATGACAGTGGCAGTTAATCCCGACAGAGCAATCCTAGCTGGGTGTTCCAGGCTCTCACGCTCCATAGGTCCTCAGGCTTTTGCTATAGCTCTTTAGGTTTATAAAGTGGCTTCTCAAGACACGTTCTACTGTGGCCAACTCTGTCTGCTCCTGCAGAAATACAGAGGTATAAGGGCTTGGGAGGCTTTAGAAAACTGGAGAAAGAGAGGGTAACCAAGAGCAGGAGGATCTCCAAATGTCTCTGGTTTGATCCTGAGGCAGAGACCTCTTAGAATGGGTTGCTTTGGGTCCTTGTCCAGCCAAGTCTTGAACACCTCTAAGGAAAGAAGTCCCCAGTGTCTCTCTGGGCACCTGTCCCAGTATTTGACCAACATCATGTTAAAAAAGTCCCTATTTCTAACCGGGATGCCTGTGTTCTGACTTAGATCCATCGCTTCTCATTCCTCCACCATTCACCTCCTTGAACAGTCTTTCCCTGTGTCCTCCCATGAGGCAGTCGTAGTCTGCAACAAAACCTCCCCATTGCCTCCTCTTCTTCAGATGGAACAAGCCCAGTTCTCCTGGATTCTCCTGACAAACCAGCCACCTCCGGGCCCCTAAATGGTCTGATGGCCTCTGCTGGACTTGCTCCAGTCTGTCAATATGTTTCTTGTAATGAGGGGTCCAAAATGAGACACAGTGCTCTGAGATGACTCCATTTGCTCTCCATCTTCCCACTAGGTACCTGCAGGCAGCAACAAAATCCCATCTCAGCCTTCCCTTCTCCAGACTGAGCAAGCCCATCTTTCTCAGCCTGTCCACATATGTCATGACCTCCTGTCTCGACCATCCTGATACTCTTAGCTGGTCTCCTCCTGACGTCTTAGCTGCTGTTGTGGATGGGGAGCCCCGCACAGGACACAGCACTCCAGCTGTTGTCTCACAGGTGAGGTGAATAACCCCTTCCCAACCTGGAAACGCTGCCTGGGGACTGGAAACCATTGGTGAAGCTCTGCTGAGGGTTGCTGCCTGCTTTTGCGGAGGCAGCAGCACAGGAGGGGGTGGGCAGGAGCTGCCCTGAACTGCAGCCACAGTGTGACAAAAAAGCCCAGGCAGCTCCTCTGCGGGTTCTGTCCAGCCCCAGGTGGATTCTGGGGTACAGGAATCCTCATAACTCAGAATATGGCGGGTATTGATCCCTAGGAAAAGGATGGCCTGGCATTTTCCTTAAGAAATCTGTAGTATAAGCACTCCTAGTAGCAGAGAGGGCCTTGAAGTGAGCCCATTTTACGTCAGCATCGTGTCATGCTTCTCCCAACTCCCTCATGACCGCCGCGAGGGCCGCCGTGATGGGGGAGACCACGGTGCCCGTTGTGCAAGAGGCAGCATGGTGGTGGCAGACCAGGCAGGTCAGGAGGCACCTGGAGCGGCACTTCTTTGAAGGCTGGCGCACAATTTGCCAGGAACACTAGAGCACCTCTTCCCTGAAGGGTCTGATGGGGTCCCCAGCGGCTGTTGAGCTTGACACCTGCTCAGGAGAGAGGGATTTGCGCCCGATGTTTGACTTCCATCTAGGAGGGGGAATGTCATCTGGGTATTTAGTCACCAGCTGAAGTGTGTAGAGGTGCCCAAGGGATGCCTGGGGAAACCCTGCCAGGGCTGGGGGGCAGCCACTCGCTCTAAATTGCGGTTGGTTTAAGGCGTTTGCTTATTGGCATCACATTATTTGCTTTGCCCCAAAGAAAGCTCTTCACCTTTGTGAGACACAGCCTTCATTGTCCGGGGACACACCACTTAACGACGAAGAGCAAATAAGTCCCAAACCACTGGTCCTGTTGCCAACCAGAGGACAAGTGCCACGATTTGGATCTCGTGCCTCCACCCCCTCACCCCACGGAGCCCTATAACTTTCAGGCTGGACGCTCCCCTAAGCCAGATCAAACCCACTCTGCTTCCCGCTCCACCTGGTCCCCACGGAGACGCCATGGGTGAGTGTGGGACGGGATGGGAGGGGACGGCACCGCTGCCTGTGCCTGCGGGTCACGGGGCACCCCGGCACTTTGTCTTCTGTTGGGTTCCCTTCAACCCCGGCCATCCCAGCAACAAGTCCATCCCATCACCCGGGCTCATCATGCCCTGGGATGGGAACTGGAGCAGGAGTCTGCACGTTCTGCTATTTTCAGGCTGCATCCCTATGGCCCTGGCGTGCCAGAAGGCCCATTTTACAATGCTCATATTTTGATTTGTAATTTTTTAGTTCTCCAAGGAAAGTATTAAGTACCCTAGAACAGAAAATGGATTTTTTTAGATATTCTGGCTTAATGAGCACTATTGAACAGGTATCTGGAGGTTAGATGCTCAAAAGAGCGCTGCTGGCCCCAGAAGAACACCCAGAAGGGGCTGATCTCCATCCTACCCAGACCTTTCAGGACCATTCCTGGGGAAAATGGGCCAGCAGTGGTGGCCTAAAGAAAGTTTTTAAACACACCTCTGAACACAAGTATCTCAAGACACTTAATGTTATGTAGGAATGAAAAGCAAATCAGTGGGACCCAGACACCTGGGTTTTCATTGCCCACAAACCCGGGCTGGAGGCAGACGTAGTCCCTGTTTATACCATGTGAATGTGTCACAGGGAGGTGACAGGAGCTGTGAGGAAAGGGGATTCCTCCCTCCGTGCTCACTTGGCTTGTTATCCAAGTCTGGTTTTTACAGGGATTTCTGGTTATGGTCACTTCAGGTTTGGACAAGGGTTTTGCACTGCAGGTGCCAGTGCTAATGACTTGTAAAGACAGCTCAAACTAAATTAGTGAATTGGGCTTTATAGCTCCAGGAGGGAGCTCTGCACAAAATAATTATATTTTCCTATTCTACTCTGCAAGTAAAGGAGTCAAACGGGATTCATGGCTCTCAAATAGAAGAGTTATGATCCTTTTCTTCTTTTTCCAATCTCTTCCCCTTTTAGCTACCCAGCACCTTTGTCTCCTGCTTTTCACCTCCTTGCTGGCCCTGGCAGCATCTTTTCCTAGGCTGGACATCACAAACTTTCACCTCCTCAATGGCTCACTGGATGAAGTTATGAATGCTCCCCCAGAGTCCCCCGAGCCCGGTAAGTATGCCACTACAACAGCAGTAGTCAAAACAAGGTCACGTTCAGTCACATCCTACACAGACCTCCTCACCAGCCTTACCACGACCCTGTAACACAGAGGAAAGACCAAGGGAAGCACCTGCCCCATTCCAACACCACAGAAATCCCCTGAACTACCAACTGGCTGATACCTGAAAGGGTAAAGTCCCCCTGGAATTAGGAACAACAGCAGAAAAACAGGAATATCATCTGGAGAAGGTCACGCTCTCCCAGCAGGCATTTGACGCGTCTGCTCACTCCTGTCTCCTCTGTTCTTGTTCATTCAGATGATGATGACAACCATGTTCGACAGGTCAGAGACATTGCCCACCACCCACCGGCAGGCCATGGTAAGTTTCTCGTTGAGAAGTAAATCTGCTGAGAAGGTTTCACCATCGCTGGGCTCGTGAAGAGCTCTCAGCCGCCTTAGCCCACGTCCTGCATGTGCCTTGGCTCTTCCCAGGAAAAAATGTTGATTTTCTAATAGGCTTCAGAGATGCCACAGCTCCTAACCTCGAGGAGAGTCTATTATCAGACATGTCCCCTACTTAATAGTTGATGAGGATCTTTAGCGTGGGGAATTTCTGACCTAAAGATCTAAACTGGAAAGTAATGATCCATTATTGGCCTTTGAGAAGTGGTGATTGGTTATTTTCCTATTTTCACTATACAGTTGATGAGAAGACTGGGTAGGACAGGGACTAACTGTGTTACTTAACTGACTGAGTCAGGATTGGCCCATTAGCCCACAAGATAGATCCTGTCTGGGTAGGAGTAACCAGTGGCAGGATTTTCTTTATCTTAAAGGGCTGGACTGGATGATCCTTGAGGTCCCTTCCAAGCCTGTAATCTATGATTCTACGGAGATTTTGGTTTAGTCCTTGTGAGCACGTGGCAGGAATACAGCCCAAGAATGTGTGTGCAAAAGAACCTAGGCACAAAAGAAATAGCAGGTGCTTTTGCTGTCTCACTGTGTGGGATTTAATAACCATCTCTGCTTCCTGCCCCAGGTTGGCCCAAGGACTGCAGTGAGATCCCCGCTGGCAGCCGCAGCGGCGTCTACATCATCCAGCCAAAAGGGCTCCACCACCTCGTGGTCTACTGTGAGATGAATGTGACACACGGGGGCTGGACGGTCATCCAGAGGAACCAGAAAGACACACCGGTCACCTGGGCCGAGGCTTGGAGCACCTACAAGTACGGCTTTGGGAACGTGCGCACTGAGTACTGGCTGGGCACCGAGTACATCCATCAGATCGCCAAGCAGAAGGTCTACCAGGTCAGGTTTGTCATCCAGGACTCCACAGACAGCATCCAGATTGCAGACTACAACCTCTTCAGCGTGGAAGATGAGTCCCACGGCTACCGGCTGAGGCTGGGCTCCTACTCAGGGACAGCGGGAGATGCCATGACCACAGACAATCCCAAGACCATGCACGACAACATGAAGTTCTCCACAAAGGATCAGGACCAGGACACTTACAGTAAGAACTGTGCCTACAGCTACGAGGGCGGGTGGTGGTTCTCGGCGTGTTATTCTGTGCGGCTGAATTATAAGGGTGGCTTGACATGGGGCAACCTCTGCAAAGGGAACTGCAAATCCTCCCTTATTCGTATCAAACCAGCTTCGTATTGTTAGTGCTTCTTCTCCCTCTTGTCCACAATGGACACTCTGCAAAGGCTCTGCATGGCCAAAGAGCTTGAGCCTTTCTAAAGCAGAGAGAGGAGCCCAAGGGTAGTAGGGTTTTAGTAAAATGCCACTTTCCAGTTCCCCTCTCTGAGAGCAGGCTCCCCCTCTGCTCAGCTCTCTTCCCCTGTGCTTGCCAATTATTCCTCGCTATTATGTTCATAATCAAGAATAATAATAAAAAAATATCACTTGTGAAATTTGTGGATTCCACATGTACCTTCTAGAGGAAGACACTCAGCCCTGGAGTGTCTTTTCATCAGAATATCTGAGCTGTCTCCAGAACTCACAGACAGCAAAAAAAGCTCCACGCCACAAATTTCCATATACTCGGTGCCTCTCTGCAGTGGCTGGTAAAGCATCCCAATAAAATTCTTTCCTTGAGCTCATTCTCCATTAATGAATGTCTGTTCTCTATCTCTGATGTGCTCCCACTGAGACCCAAGAAATCCCATGTGAGGTGCTGGGTTTGGAGTCTTGAGGCTTAGGGAAGGAAAAAGCCTTGAGTGGTTCTCAGAGGAATGGATGTTACAAAATTAAATCCAGTTACGCTGAGACAAAGGACCTGGGATCTGCACAGGAGGGTTCGGAAGGGACATGTCATGTAGGAGAGCTCTTCCCACATCATCACCACGTTCACAGTCTGGGGTCAAAAGCTGTGGCAACGTGCCGGTGTCAAGGTCTCAGTCCTGCCAGGAGGCTGCATCTGTCAGGATTTGGTTTTTGCTGCCTGTCTGTCTGCACAGCCAGGCTTTGATCCTGCAGAAACACGAGTTCACTGTCGTCAGTAGCTCTGACTGCCGTGACTGGAAGCAGTGAACTTAAATGGAATCAAAAGAGAAGTAGGTTAGGTGTTAGGAAGCACTTGAATTAGGAGACACTAATGAGGGAAGAGCTCATTACAGGAATGGGCTTATCATACCCAAGTTTCTCAGGACAATTTAGATGAACCTGTGCCAGGGAAAGTGCAGGCAGAGCCGATGCTGTGAAGCTGCAGGATGAGGTCCCTACAGCTCCTACATCCCACAACGCTCTGGTACTGCCAGGACAGACTGTTTGAGAAGCACCTTCACTAATTGTTTCTAGCTTTGTCTTGGGGCAGCACAGCAAGAGCAGGGAGTTCCACTTCCAGGACCAACAGTGAAGGGAAAACCCAGCCCTTGTCTGACATTTGCAGAGCCCAGTGCCCACTCGGAGCCATCCAGAAAGGTTTGAGAAATTAGAAAATACTGACATAAATGAGTCGTGGAAGATCTCTGAGACCGAAAGTACCTTATGCTGCTTGAGAGAGCTGCCCTTAGCACCGTAAAGCACGGGCGGGTTACCTGAGGGAAAAGAGAGCTCAGGGCTACTTCTTCTGAAAGTGCTCTCGAGTGGGGCAGCCTGCTCTCCTGAGATCCTCCAGCGCCAAACACCGAGCCCCCCGAAACCAGAGCGAAGAGGATTGGTGGGACCTCAAAGCGCAGCCTTTGCCTGCCTTGCAGTTGGCACCACGGCACAGGGAGCGGGGGCACAGAGCAGCAACGTGGTGGCCTTCCCTTGCGCTGGAAGAGACGCTCTCCTGCACCAGGGGTGCAAGATCACAGAACCACAGAATCGGGGAATCACAGAATCAGGGAATCACAGAATCATGGACTCATAGGATCATGGACTCATAGAATTACGGAATCATAGAATCCCAGAATCATGGAATCACAGAATCACAGACTGGTTTGAGCTGGAAGAGACCCTAAATCCCATCTAGTTCCACCCGCC